AAACTATCACAACCCCTGAAATATCTTTTAATGTCCCTCCAAGGCAAACCTAAATTGCAGACATTTTGTTGTTTGCATCACATTTTCCTCCCAGCAGCCTAGTAGATTATTATTAGCTACAGAGCCAAGCAAGCAAAATGATTGTAGGCGGAGAAGATTCAAAGATTTACGAGTGTTGCGGAACATTTTATTTATTTTCCAGTTAGCTACCTAGCTACCAAAATGTGAGCCAATCAACCTGCCCTTGTTGTTGAATTTGTACCCAATGTTACCAAGTTGTTTTAGCTAGCTAACTAATGTTAACCAGTTAGTTATACGTCAGTGTTAAACATTTACTGTTTTTTTTAGGTAGCTAGTTAGTGTGATATTTGGGACTTGTACTTCTGTTTTTTATTTTAGCTTATCAAGTTTTGTGGATATGACAGGACTATGATCATCCTGTTTTTTCCCTACTGATTTGACACTTGCTAGCGAGGGTAAGCGGTGGCTTATGGTCATAAGAAGATATCAAAATATCAGCTTGAGAGTTTGTGTTCTGTCCAAATGCTTATATTATGGTGTTCGATTCAGTAATATTGTCAGCCACATTATTTCAGGACATAATGTATGTTGAAAAAATATCTTAATTATACTGTATATTTGTAATGTTGAGTTTATCATTCGCTACACAATGACCAGTCTCTCGTCACACACTTGCAATCCACCCTTTAATGTTAAATTTGCACAAAGTGCAGAAACTAGTGTAGCATGTAGTGACCAGTGGGGAAATGTGTAATTTTTTTAATTACTTGGAACCCACTGCTGACATGCCTTGGAAATTTTTTTAAAATCTTCCAGCTTATCTCTCACCATTTGTAAACTCGGGGCTGGTCCAGTGTGGTACATTCTGAAGCAGGCATGTCTGAGGAATATGGTTTGTCGAGACTCTCTTTACATGATTTTACATGTTTTCTGTGCTGACTGGGAGCAGCTCATAAAGCGAGCTATGGGCTATTAAGTTCTAAGTAGCTCCTGCTGGTGGTCAGGCCCTGCTAAGCATTACAAGTGGTGTGTGGGCCTTCCAGGACACCACACGGCTCCTTGCCTGCTTACACACTCTGTCACTATGACCAACAGCCTGCGGTCTCTGTTTTAAGATGTCATGGTACTAATACTCATATTCTGTTTGGCTGAGGAGGAGCTATGATTGCATTTTCATCCTGGATCATAGCAGTGAAGGATCACTCTCAACATATGGTACACCTTAAGACCTATGTAGGAGCAGGCCAGGGCCTGTTATGTAATAAAACATACAAGTGCAAAGGACTTTCTGAAGGAGTGTTTTTGGGATGAGGGAAAAGAGGCATAATGCCTCCTGGGACTGTATGGGTGCTGTAAAGAAACTCCGGTATGCAGGGCTCAGGCTGATTGGCTCTGACTAAGTTCTCTGCAGAGACCAGGACAAAGTGCAGAGAAATATGAATGAACATCAGCATGCAGATAGAGTAAATAAGCATGAACGAGAATGAAACATGCTTTGATGTAATGGAATGTTTCCTGTTTCTCACATGAATGTACAGTGGGGTCCAAAAGTCTAAGACCACATTGAAAATCTGAGATTTTTTTAAGCAAATTTGTGATATTGACCATGTTACAACTCCTCTGTACAAAAGTTTAGATTTTCTGTGAGTCTTATCCCGTCCATTGAAGCACGTGTTCAGACGACACGCCTATGGATTTGATCTAACATGGATCATCAGGTTGTGCTTGTGGAGTCTGTGTCAGAAAGGAGACATACCAAATACTAAGAAACTCTGAAATTCATGTAAAAATTTCTAAGATTCTACTTTCCAGTCAAGTTATTGCTGACAATATCATTTGTGTTAAATTGAAAAAGAATGCCAAACAGAAGCATTTTCACTAGTGCTCTCAGACTTTTGGACCCCACTGTATATACCAAACCAAATATTCCGCTTTCATGATATCAGTACTAAGAATCAGTGTCTCTAAAGACTGGGTGGGGTGTAATCAGGCACATATTTTATCTTTTAACAAGAAGTAAAACAGCCCAGTTTTCTCTAAATCGTTCTCTGGAACTCAAACTTGCAGGCTTTTACTTTCTAATTAATACTTGAAATATTTTTGTATTTGGAGATCTTTTCCTCTCATTCGTTGGAAAGGCAGCATGGGGGTATGACATTGAGTGTGGAGAAATTGGTCTGTCTAAGGTAAGACGAGGGAGAAGGAGGAACGTTGGCAGAGCGCCCTGCTCAGGGGTGGCTCCTGCTTTTAACAAGACTCTGATCCTCCAGCACTTCTTCTGCTCTGAAGCAAATCTAATCCTCCTACAGACATCTAACACTGAAAGAGGCTGTTTGTGACGCAGCTTGGTCCTGCTTTTCTTTCCTCTATGGGATTATTCCTGCAGTGAACGAGGGCTGCTCTTTTCTTACCTGTATCAGCCCTCAAGCACAGGATTACGGTCATGATATCGCAGCAGATGTGTTTACTCTGGAGATTTATGCTCACTGAGCTGTCATTAACTGCAAGGCTGCTTTGCTTAGGCCATGTTGAAACTCGCTTGGTGGAAGTTGGACTTTTCTTACTGGAAACCCCCCGGCTTCTTTACAGAGAGCAGCTCAAAGCCACTGTCATTAAAAGTGACAGTGAGAGAGGGTTAGCCTTTTATAAGGAAAAAAGTTAGTAACCCAATTATGTTATTGAATGCAGGTGGTGGTTAGAAATGAAGTTGGGAAATAGTTGCAGTTTGGTAGAAAGATCATGAAACTCCACCTTCTTCTAGCTGACTTTGTATATACAATCTCTCCCAGGGATAGAAAAAGTACTGAGAAATTATACCTAAGTGAAAGTATAAATAAGGTGTCAAAATCTTACTCAGTTAAAAGTGGAAGTATCCAGCCAAAAATGTACTCAGTGAAAGTCAAAAGTTATTACTTTTAAATGTACTCAAGTATTTAAAACATTTTTTTAACTGATGAAATTAATAATTTAAAGCAACTGTGCCTTTTTTGCCTGAAAACAATTCAATCTCTGGATGTTTGAAAAACTTAACACAAATCTGCAGTCAGCCTATCACGCACTGTAAGGGAAGAGAATTCTCCTCCAGGCTCTTGTGTACTTCTTAGCTGCCACCTCTTAGATTGTAGATGATGACCTGAGGATAGACTGATAGTCATGTTAAAATGTTTTCTGGAAATGTGCAGTGAACTTGTGTTTCCTGTTGGATACAATGTCTGCCTGAATGCCATGATACAAGATCACCTCCTGGACTACCACAGTCATCTCCTTGGAAGGAAGTTTAGTCAGTGGAACTAAATGTGCAGCTTTGGAGAAACAGTCTACTACTACTAAGCCAGTAATGAAACCCACAGTGATGTGAGAAGAGGGTTTTTAGGGGTACGTTGGTCAGAAGTTGGATGCCTTTGGAGTTGCTGAGGTAGTGCATGTGCATATGTACTCATTGATGTTCTGGTGTATCTGAGGCCACCAGAAACAATAGGAGATGTACTTCATGGTCTTTTCTACCCCTTGATGTCCCACTAAAAGAACATAATGCTGCCAATGTAAGACCCGGGCACAGAAGGGGTCGGAGTCGGTTTCATGAGCCTGAAGGACAGCCTCCTCCAATACCAGGCATGCCAGGCCCACAATGACATTAACAGGACCTACAATACTGATGTGAAAGAGCATCACTCTTTGTGTTCCTAGATGCAGTGAAAAGTGAACATAAGTGTTTTGTAAAGACAAAACAGTTGGAAAAACAGGACTCATCAGGCTCAGTCAGGGATTGAGAGGTTTTTCCTCCCTTAGATATTGGAGCTTGGTCTCTGAGCACTTGAAATTCAGATGTAACGGGATGCAATTCTTCCAAAAAGCTCCACTTTCGACTCACCAGTCCACAGAATATTTTCCCAAAGGCTTTGAGGTGTTTTTTGGCAAATGTGAAATGAACCTTTATGTTCCTCTTGGTTAGCGGTGGTTTTCTATTTGTAACTCTCCCATGGATACGATAAATAACCTTTAATTCTGTCCTTATTTATTTTGTATCTAAATTCTTAAAATATATGCTTTTGTGTTTGCCCTCTGATTATTTGGCTATTTGTTCATTATATTCCCTATGAGGAATCTTATTTTGAAGCACGATCTCTCCAGGTGACAGTGGCCTACAAACTCTGAGTGAAGGAAAAGGCAGTAGTGAACAGCACATGGAGCTGGTCTGTTGCAGCAGCCGAAGGAGTAAAATAAAGAATGTTTTGCTTTAGTACCTGGTTGATAAGGGCACAAGGTCAGTAATGTTTGTTTAATGTGCTTATATTTTAAATGTCTTTGCTGTTATATTAGTTTCTTGCTAGTTAGGCTAATTCTGTTGGAGAATAGCTAGTGCTGCTATCTAATTGTTTATTTTTGTTGTTTATTTTGAATATTTCTATGCAGTAAATACCATTTTGTATTTTATTTGTTTTATCTCTAGCTCTTACGGTGTATTATGGATTCACCATATGTGAAAGAGTAATAAAGGAAGATAATCACAATCATCAGTGAGAAGCAAAATTGTTTAATCAACCAGGCTGCTATAGACACCATTTTGCCCAGTCTCTTTCTAATGGTGGAATCATGAATGCTGACTTTATCTGGGATCATTTGTGAAGTCTTTGTGTGCTCTTGTAGGAATTTTCCCAGGCTAGCCACTTCTGGGAAAATTCAACATCATTCCAAGTTTTCTCTATTTGGAGATAATGGCTCTCACTCTGGTTTGCTGGAGTGCTTCTCTCTCATCTCTTCTGGAATTTATTTTGATCACGGCGAAGTATGCTGCTTGTTGAGACATTTTAGCCAGCTGGAAAGTGAAGTTCAGATTCAGCAGGGCTGGCAGTAATCAAGCCTGGGTGTGTCTAGTCTAATTAAACCCAATTATTAATTAAATTTGGTTAATTGTTTGATTGGATAACTAATCTTTTAACACAGGGCCAGTTTTCTTCAATAAATAAAATGATCTTTTGTCCCTGGAGGACTAGTGGTTAGGCCTCAGTGCTCTCACCGTCATGGCCTGGGTTCGATTCCCAGCCAGGGAACCAACACCAGCAACTGGGGTTTCACACGACAGTGCACTCCCAGTGCCGGTCCCAAGCCCGGATAAAATTGGGGAGGGTTGCATCAGGAAGGGCATCAGGCATAAAAATTGTGCCAAATCAAATATGTGGACCAATGATCCACTGTGGTGACCCCTAACAGCAGCAGCCGATAGAAGAAGAAATAAAATGATCGTTTAAAAACTGTGTTTTGTGTTTAATAAATGTCTTTGTTTTTTGCTTTATACTGCCCTACTGAAACAATTAAGAGGGACAAATACGTCAAAAATAGAAGAAATTAGGAACACAGCACTGTATATTTAATGACCATTCATACCACAGACAACGTCATTAAGATATACTTCAGGTAACATCAGTCTGCTCTGATAAAATAACCTAATAGGCACAAATTAAGACCAATGTAAAGCACTGATGGTTTTAATGTTGTTAGTCCAAGCAAAAATTGTTTTAATGAACAATAAATGGTAATTTTCTGTACTTTGTTGCAGCACATTTTCTAACAGCCTGCATGTGTGTATGAGGGTCATGAGGTCTGGAGCAGGAGACTAAATTTTATCTATAACCCATCTATAACTCTTACGGAGAATCACATAAGTTCCTTATGATTTCTTTCACAGTTGGCACTGAAATGGGATAAGCCAGGTGGTGTGACTGTTCCACTGGCTCATGAGCACTCAGGTTGTGTAACCTTTTAGCTCTAAACAGCGAACTCTCTTTAATCAGATCAGATGAGCCACTTTTTGTGGATAAAGATGCATATAAGAAACAGAAGCCACCAAATGAGAAGAGTAAGTACTGTCACCCTGTAAAGTCTGAGCCAACTACTCTAATATTCTGCCAGGTGGAGTGAGAGGATGAGCCAAAGGTGGTTGTCACACATATTGTTGTGAGGATCAGGAACATGAATGCTTACAGTAATACAGTCCAGTCCACTCTGCCTCCCTTATCATGCGCTCATGCTTGTTCTTCTGCTCCAGTAAGCAGCATTCAGGACTTTAACTGCTGAACCAAAAAGTTCTGCTTTAAATGGCTTAACCTCTTCGGGAACGTGAGGCCAGAACTGAGTGCTTTATCTCTAATTATACTAGTGTCACTTATTAAAATGTGCAGGAAAGCACATCATATCTGGGCCATATTTTTGGTAATAATACAGTGATACATTTAATTCACTGATGTTTATTGTAATTGTGGGCCCAAAACTGTATTTATGATAGACAGGTGAGACATTTTGCCCGTTTTTTTAACTTAACTCCAAAAATTGTGCTTAATGATCTTTAATCTGCCGCTCTAAGGGCCACTTGAGGCTTAACTGAATCCGCAGGACTACCACTCTTGTTTTGTGCCCCAGCATCCACCCCCATCCGCCACCTGTCTTCTGAAGAGTTTGTACATAGAAGCCCTTTTTTTGTAATGCTGTAATCTTGAATTAATTTCCTGTCCTGGTTATCCACAAGCAGGGCATTTGTGGGTCAAGTGGTCAGTCACAGAGCCCCTAAAGATCCACAGCTTCTTCCCTTTGATGTTTGGTGCATCCAGAAAGGTCTCCATGAACACCACCACAGAAAGAAGAAGAATGTAATTTGGTCACCAAGGCTGCAGCTTCCTGGTTCACCCTGAGGTCAGCAGACGTCCTCCTCCGTCCTCCAAGGCTTGACTAATCAAGCTAAAGCATTAGACGTTTACACAGTTAGTTTCAAAACCATTCCAATTAGGTTAGAAATGTTTGTTCTAAATCTGAAAGCAAGTAAAGTAAGTGCATTTCTTTTATTTTCCTTTTTTTTTTTTTTTGTTTTGCACACTGTGCAGATTACATTAATAATTTAAGTGGCCGCTGGTTAGCAGAGAGTCAGGAGATACACGTGAGAGGCGCTCACACAGCGGCATGAGGCACAGGCAAATATTCAGCCCTTGTTTTTTAATTTTACAATAATATAAAAATAAACAGGTGGAGCTTATGTAACCTTATATAACATTATAGAGCCTCAGCAGCCCACCCACCCAAGACGCTTAAACAGAGGACGCAATAAATATGCTACAAGGCAAGTTTCTTTTTTTTTTTAACCAAGTTTACTAGCTTAACAGTAAGAAATCATTTGCATGATGCATATTAGGTCACAGTGTTTCGAATCAAGTTCAAGGTGTGCTTTATTGGTTAAACGTTAAATGCTATCAAAACCAAATAAAAACCTAAATGTTATAAATTAAACAGAACAAACAAACAAAAAAAGGTATTACAATGAAATATAAAGAATTAGCATTATGAATGCAGTAAGAGATTTGTTGTTTCTTAACATGTAAAAAGCAAATACAAATTGTACTGAAAACTGTGAGCATACTGTATGTCTAAGTAACATAATGGTAATTTTTTATTCATTAATTTGCCTTTAGAAGAAGACTTGTGGGTGGTGGTTGATCCGGAACCTATCCCGGGAACACTGGGTGTGAGGTGGGAATACACTGGCTGGGATACGAGTCCATCACAGGGCACCATGCATACACACTGTTGGGAATATTCATACACACATTCACACCTGGAGGCAATTTAAAATAGCTAATTAACATACACACAATAATACATAACTACAATAAACACATAACAGTGTCTACTTTTTCCTTCGGTACTTGAGCGCACACTCTGTGCTGACTCTAAGTCTCTTCTTTTAAGTCTTTTTTTGGTCATATAGTCGGCTTATTGAATTTGTGTGTTTGATATTTGATTTGGAGTGTGTTTTGTTTCATTTGTCATTGAATTTTACTTAAAATGAAAAAAAAAAAACAATTAAACTAAATATATATTAAGGACTGAGCTTACTCTAGTTTATGCTTGTTATATGCAATAATGTTTAACTGAATGGAGCAGGCACAGTAGCCAAGCAACAGAGAGCATAAGTGTATCTGAGCAATCCTCTGCAACCTTATTACAAACACCATAAACAATGCACTGTAAAACCTCCTGCTGTGTGAGGCAAAGGCTCAGAAAAGCTTTCTTTCATTTCTTCCCCTGACCCTGATGACTCCTAACTGGAGAATGCTCAAGTATGAAAACTTCAGAATTATGTTAAAAGAAAAAAATCACTGTTTTCACTGACTTGCGAGTACAATGCAAGTGCACAAGGGTCTGATTCAGATGTTAGATGCTGCAAGACCAAAAATAAATAAATAAATAAACCACCCTAGATGCACATTTCAGCAGAAGAGATCTGCTTTTACTTCCAAAAGCCAGATGGCAGTGTCACCTCTAAACTGCCCTTTTCCAGCTGGCCTCCAGGGGGCATTGATGCAACCAGCGTTGCTGGAAGGAGCAAGTGGAAGACTTCTGAGGAAAGTGGAGCAGCTGTCCAAATGTTATTTCAGCATTCTCTCAAAACACACAGAAACACAATGTTTCAGTAATGATCATGCTTAGCTTTCTCATCTCCTACTGAGAATGGAGAACATTTTCCATGTTGAACACACATTTACAAACCATACCTTATCATGTTTTTTTTAAGTGCGTATATATATGAGATATATATAAACAATGCAGTCATGTGTGTTTTCTTATTTTCTCTGTTCATTTTATTTAAGGAAACCTTACGTAACATTCTTCAGCCCAGAAAACCTCTACAGAACCGAAGCCCCCTTGCATAGAACCTCCACCCATGTAATCATAATACTCACATCACCACAGGCCAAAAATAAGGGAAAATTAGAAATCACTCAGCTGCAGCTCCCAGGCTTCCAGTATTTATTGTCATTTTGTGCTTAATGGGATCCTGTTACACTCCTGTAGTGCAGTCTGAGAAATACTCACGGAAAAGGGAGATTCATCACATGCCCCGTATACACCAAACATGCATAATAGGTTGATGTGTGTGTCTGTGTGTCTGTGTGTGCGCGGATAAAGCTTATCCCTCTGGCTTTAATTCCGAGGGGGATATTTGTTTGGAAAGGAGAACACAGCTGGGAGAGCATCTGGATCCTGATGCCTGCAAGCAGACTATCTGGCTGGGCACCCTGCAGTGTCTCATCACACCCTTACAAAATCTCTCCTTCCCCCTCTGTGTTCTGGTTAAATCTCTTTCGCTCCCCTTATTTCGCTCCATAGGAGCCTTCTTGTCCCTGCATCCTACTATTTTTTTCATTATCTTTGCGGTTTTGTCTTTCTATCTTTTGTTTACCACATGACGAAATATGATACTCCTCATCACAAGAGCACAGTACACCAAGGCACATGAATAGATGCTGATGCTGACATTAATACAGATATACAAGATATATTGGGAGGGAATATACATTGCCTTGCATAAATATTCACCCCCTTCACCCTTGAACTTTTCCACATCTTGTAGTATTGCAAATTGGAATTGAAATGAACTTAACTGAGATTTTACCATTTGATTTACACACTATGTCTAACATTTTAAGGTGAAAAATATCTTTTGTGACACAAAGGTTAACATTAGTGCATGGGTCAACACTTGGGGAAAAAAAAACAATTTTACAACCAATTACAGCTGCAAGTCTTCTGGAAAATGTTTCTATCAGCTTTGCACAACTGGATCCTGATATTTTTGTCCATTTTTTTTGGCAAGATTATTCAAGCTGTGTCAGATTGTTTTGGAGACCGCTGGTGAACAGAAATGTTAATGTCCTGCCACAAATTCTCAATTAATTTGAGGTCTGGTCTTTGACTGGGCCATTCTAACACATTCAGGTTCGTGGTATTGAACCACTCCAGTGTAGCTTGGGCAGCTTTCTTACGGTTGTTGTCCTGTGAAGATGAAGTGACACCTCTTTTACACCTCTTTTGTTCTATATCCAATTAGTTTAAAATGTAATAAATCCTGCATGTGTGGCAGCAAAACTCTGGCTGATTTCTGGAAACCAGACTAAAAATCTAGTTTTGACCAAAATCTAATAACATGGTACAAATTATATTATGGCACATAATATTCAATTCAATTCAATTGTATTTGTATAGCGCTTTTAACAATGGACAT